TATATATATATATATATATATATATATATATAAAATACCATAAGTTCAATTATGTTAACTCACAAACTTTACAACAATAAATATAAGATTAGAATAACCACATTAAAATAAAAACAAGAAAAAAAAAGAACTACTTGAAAGCATAGGGAAAAAAACAAGAAAATTAATTTTTAATGTATCAGATGTTGAATGATGAAATTTATTTTAAAAAACTAAAATTAACTTTCAAAACTAGTGATTTTGATCATGAATTTAAGACTTACCCTATAAAAGCCAAACAAAAAAAATAACAAAGCAAAACTCTAGAAAAAAGGGTAAAAAAAACATCAACTTAAAAAAAAATCAAACAACCATTTTTAAACTTGGTCTACTATTTAAAACTTGCAAATCTAGACTTGATTTGAATTAAACTATGTAATTGCTAACCAATTTAATTTTGAAAAATGAAATCACAAAAAAATCAATAAAAAAATAAAAAACAAATTTGATAGGAAAAAAAACATGGAGAATGAAAATTTAAAAAAATCAAAAAAATAATCTCAAATAAAACAAATAGTAATAAAATGATTGGAGACTGAATTTGAAAGATAAAAAAATAAAAGATGATGAAATTAAAAAATTATATAAATTTATGACACAAGTGTGTTTTAATTATTTTAAAAAAATATGACATGGGGCATAAACGCGACCAAGAAAAAAAATGATGATAAATAAGAAAACCAAAAAAAAAAAAACAATAAAAAATACACAGTTAAAAAAACTGTATAGAAGGCGGATAAAAAAAATAAAGCCTAATCACTAATGATATGAATGTTGAATTATAAAACTAAAAAAAAACATATCAACTTTAAATAAAAGGAAAAAAATCAAAAAAACTCAAGCAAACTTTTTAAACCTAGATAAAGGTCTCAAACATGCAACCCATTAAATTCTAAATCTTGATTTAATTAAAAAATTAATTTCTAACAAATTTAATATTAAAAAACCATAGTAAATTCAACAAAGAGCAATAATTAAAAGATCCAAGAAAACCGAGGTAATTTTTAAAATTAGTGAAAAATCCTAGAGAAACAAATAAATAAAAATCTTTTAAAAAATTTATTTTAAATAAAACAAATAAAAAAATGAGAACTAAATTTGAAAGAAAACAAATAAAGGGGTATGAAATAAAGAAAAAATTCTAACATCATAATTATTTTAAAAAAATTCATTTTATATATTGAAGGGTTCATGAAAAAACATAAATTTAAAGAATTATCTAAAAAAACCCAAAAAAAAATGATAACAAAAACATGATCATTTTCAAGACCAACAAAAAATTTTACAAAAAAAAATAATAAAAAGAAGAATTCATACTTCAATTGAATAAATAGTAAAAGATGAAATGGTGAAAAGAATTACCTTTGACAAAGGAAAAAAAACAAGCAAACCTGAAAAATATCTTAAACTTGGTTAAATTTTAAAAACTCACAACTCATGTCTGAATCCAATTAAGAAGTTTATTTTGAATCAATTCTAAAAACTTGCTAAACCAAGAAATTGACAATCAAAAGAATGAGAGTTAAATTTGTTAGGAAAAAAACCAAAAAAAGGTAAAAATGTAAAACATAATCGATTTAAAAAATGATTTGAAATTAAAAAAATAGCAATCAAAATAATAAAGATAAAATTTAAAAAATAAATACATTTAAGAGAGGTGAAATTGAAAAGGGATACCATTTTTTTAAATTATTAAAAATAAAAAAATCATAATTAAAAAATGAATCAAATCTAAAGAATTAACAAATTAAAAGTTTGTTCTTAAATTTTTAAGGAATTAGCGGGAAAATATAGATGAGGGAGAGAGAAGAATAAAGGGGAAGAAATGGTTGTCAACACCAAACCACCATTAATTTTGAAACACACGTTACCTTGTTGGATCAAAGAAGTTAGGATCTTATAAATGCCACACTTAAAGGCGATATTTGATAATCAGACAACCTTGCACATATTGTTTTAAATAATATTTAATATATATGTATTATTACAATACCTATGAGCAACTATATTTACAATAAAATTAATGGAAAATGATCAAAAAACAATTTACGAGAGAGTTATATTGTTTTTATCTTAAAGGACATCAAATTAAGTAATTATATAATTTTAAAATAAATAGAATGACTAAAATACTCTAAGTAAAAAGCATTGAATTTTTTTATTCCAAAGCCCAAATAATAATTTTATCGTTTCAAAAAGAGAATCGATAAATCTAACCCTATATAACATATAACATGCTAAATATAATTGTGTCATGGTTAAAAGTCAAATTTTCATCCTAAGCCTAGGTCAATTGTTTTTTTTTTTTAATTGTAAATTGATAATTACATTAATCTATGTCTTATTGTACAGTAACCGGAGAAGAATTAGGTATTTTTGTTAATTTTCACTATAGATGCTAATAGATATTGGGAATTCCTCCATCATGATGCATTTGCCCTACTTAGAATGATTAAAGATGCCCTTATGATGGTTCTACAATGGTAACCCAATTCAACAAATCAAGTGAACAAAATGGAAGAAATGGTAATGAAAAATAACAATTAATTTCTGTTAATTCTTCATGAAGACTACAAGCACCTCTCATAAGAGATGCTTTCTTCTTTCTCCCATGAATTTGGTCTAGGAGGCAAAGAGAGGACTTATTCAGGAAGAAGCACCCAAGCATTAAGTGATTATGAATAACTACTCTGAGTAAGAAATAAAATGAGAAATAAAATAATCTTAGCATGAACCACCTGCTGGAAAGTTGCTCTTCTGGCTGCTGCATCAATTATTCCAAACCCAATCATTTCCATACCTTTAATCATTTACCTTGAGACATTCTGCACCATCCCTGGAGACAAACATGGTGGGTGGATATTTTACATTATACAAAACTCTAAACATTGTGCATGTGTTTTTCTTACATTTTAATATGGATTTATTGTTCAGAATTCTTATTATTATTTTTTAGTTCTCGAACTCCTTTTGTTTTAATGTGATTGCATTTTTTATTGGCAAAATTAAAGTCAATTGAATCAAACTTTTTAATTAAAAACAAAATTAAAAAAAAAACAAAAAAAAAGACGTGACAAAAAGGTGATGATTTCAAAATCACCACAAATAGTTTATTTTTGTGCTTAAATTTTTCAAATTATACCTATTCGGCCCCTCAATATTTTTGCAATTCAATAATGGTATAAATTTTATTTTTTTTAATTTTTTTTAATTTTTAGTGTAAAAAATAGAATGAAAAAAAGTTTTTAAGCAAAAAAAAAAACCATAATTTTCCAACTTCTATAATATTCGGAATATGAAAAAATCAAATGAAACATCGTCTAAAGCTTTTTTGAAAAATATATAGGGCCATCAATTTTTAAAATTAAAAATCCACCTGCACCTAAGAGCATCTTACCTGTTTTTTTATTCATATTTTAAAAAAAATGGATAGTTTTTTTCTGTAATTTTTTAATAATTTTTAAATTTATATTTCAATGAATACCCCTATATGATATTTTATTTTTCTTATTTAGCCTTTTATAAATTGAGATTAGTTTTTAATTATTTTTTGTATTTAATATATAAAAAGATTATTATGATTCATCTATGAAATTTTTTTATATAGATAAATTTTATTTTTAAAAATAGAAAATATTTATTTTTGGATATTTTTTCTAATATGTGCACCATTTCATAATAGTTTTTTATCTTTTTTATTTTATTTTATTCAATCAATTTTAAGTGTTTGTTTGTTTTTATTATTATTTGATTTAATAAACAAATAATTTTGATAAAAAAATTTATTAAACACTACTAGGTAAATGACTTGCATGCAAGATCAAATATCTTGATCTATATATGTCTCGATTTTTCAATTTTTATTTTTAGTTGTTTTTTTATGATTTTTATTTATTTATTTATATAGATGGTTTTCAATTTATTTAATTAGATATGTGCAAAGGCTTCTTAGTTTATTATTAGAATTTTTTTATGTAAAAAAACATGTCTGGAAAGTTTGTGTATTCAATTTTTTTATTGGATAAAAATATTCAACTTACGGTGAAATATAGGTCAAATAGCTAGTCATAAAAAACTCTAAATATTTTGGATAAAACATACTCTAAATGTTTGGGATAAAACATTGTGTATACAAACATTGTTTATCCTCTCATATTTTATTATGCATTTATTATTCAATTTTTTTTGTGAATGCTTTTTTTAGCCAAATTAAAACACCATTAAATTCAATTTGTTGATTAAGAATAAAATTAAAAAATAGATGACCAAAGTAGAATGACATCATGAATGGGTGATAATTTTAAAGTTCTCACAAAAATTTTAATTTAGTCGTTGTATTTTATTAACTCTACCTATTCAATCCTTCAATATTTTTACAATTTAATTTTGCTATAAAAATTTATTTTTATTATTTATAGTTCCTGATGTTAGAGAAAAATTGGAGAGATCATTGAATTATTGAGGTAGATAAAGAAAATTATCATTGACTCCTATTTATCCCACCAAATTAATCAATTTTATTGTCAACAGAATTAATTTTATTGTCAACAGATTTTATTTGATAAGATAATTTTTATCTAAACGTTTAGGTTTTTAAATTGTTTAGACTCTTTTATAATGTTTAGCGTAAAAAATAGATTTCTAAGCAAAATAAAAAAATAAACCATGTCCGGAAACAGTAATAGCTTAAATTTAAAAAATATATGAGCCATATCTATTGGCCGTCGCCATGTTGTGCTGGTTGGAGAGACCGTCAGAGAATAAATATGGAAACCGCCGTGACGAAGCTCAACAATGGCAAATTTCTTGCTTTGTTTTTACTGGGTTTTACCTTTAATGAAAGAGACAACTGGTCAATCATATATCAACATGATCTGAGATTTATTTGGTACCCGGAGCGAGGTACATGTTTTCTGTATCGTTCGTTGGAAGAATAACTGGCGAACATGATATTGAAGGGATTGTGATGCCAAATGTTGATCAGTTTTTGACATTTCCATCTATTTTGGATGGATACACGTCTCATGAAGATATTGCTTATTCAATTACACGAATCAGAGAATTATTTGGTTAGATCCATGCGGTACATGAAAGTTTCATCACAGAGACAATTCCAAGCATACTCGATGCAGTTTCCATAGTTTAGAACTTCAAAAAGCATATTAGACACAGGATTCTTCAGCTTCTAGCAGAAATATAGCTCATAACTCTTACAACAATCATCAATTATGTAGCCATCATACAAAAACCATTCAACAGAATCGAGACAGCTGCAATCCATCTCCAATTGTAAGTGGGAATATGTTAACACTCTATTAAAAGGCAAATTAAAAAAAAAAATGCCTTAGTAGGGGCAGGAAAAATTAAAAATGAAGAAGAAAAAAGAATGGTGGAGGCCCACAAGGCCACAACACAGCATACCACATCCTACTATTACAAACCTATGATTCATGTGCAAACTCAACTTAATTACAATTAGTGAAACAAAACAGTATGGAGGTTGGTTTAACTTCCTAAAGGAGCTCTGTCATCTGGCCCAGCGAGCATAATCTGACATTCCAATAGTTCAAACAAAAAAAGGGCAATTCATTTGTGGACGATGCAGAAAGACAAATCAGCTATGCATACAAAATTTTAATCCAAGAATCCATAGATAAATTTTGACACACTTACATTGCAATCAAAAGCAAACCTCCTTGCAAGCATGATGGCTGCATTCCTCTCTCTTGCTGATTCAAATGCTAATACAAAGGAAACCCCTTTCTTTGCTTGCCAAAACAATGCTTGAGCTGCAGCATTCCCACCTCCTCTAACTCCACACAGCTAAAGCACAAGAATAGTGTGAGTAATGGCTGTGTCACTTGCTATAAATACCAAATTAAGATGTCCAACATAACTGTCAATAACGTTTTAGGCACATATGAGGTGTGTGAGTGTGTGCGTGTCTATCCTGAGAGGATGGACCAAAACATTTGCAATCAAATAAGAATAAAAGCAAAAAAGAATTTAAGGTATGAGCTTTTGTAAATACAAAACCATCTTATCTCAAGAGATAAGGGTTGAAACAGCCCATTATACCTGCATTGAAGTAGAGTAGTACTCTTTAGCAATTGTCGACTTCCCTTTGCGAAGCTTCATCCTCATCTTTCCGACATGAAGCACATGAATAGATTCTGATGTATGATCCAACCCATTCATCTGGGTAACAACTACCTGTAAAGTAAACAAAATCAATGGAGAATAATGGCCTCCTTAATCCTTATGATCACTTTTATAAAAAAATAAATGATTCAGTTTCATTTAACCCAGGCCCACAATGAAGGGACAACAGGATAAACGACCTCTATAAATTTCCATAAGGACGATTTTAAACTTCAATAAGTTATCCTTGAAGAGTTATTATTAGTATGACGCTCTCAACCCATGAGCTTGTAGCTCAATGACACTTGCAAAACAGGAGAGGTGAAGTCTCATGCTTCTGCTTCGGTCACATTTGTCAGTTCAATGATCCGTGATACCCGCACACCCCATTGCATTTTAGTAACAACAAAATGCATTAAACAAGACTAGGACGTGTAAGTTTCCATGCTCCAGGAAAAGCAAAGAATGGATGGGAGTCTAAATGCCACCCTGATCCTCACAATGGTTAAGAAAATAACATCCGCAAATCAATAACAGAAGCAGAATGGGGCGCCTAACTAAACATTCCCAATGTCATGCCTCATTGTGATTCTTACTATTTTCTCAATGTACATCTTTTCCTAGTTTCTCTATGGCACACACGCTCTCACAAGGCCATAAAAGTCAAAGAACCTTCATTGCACAAAGTAGCAGACAGTCAAATATCATTGCCCTTTCACTGACATATTGCAGCAAGTACGGTAGAAGGAAAAACATCAGCAAGCCCTCAGGATTCAGGAACGGACAGAAAATGAATATCCAATCACCATGCACACAAGCACTTTTGCCTATATCATGTGAGCATCTGAAGGGATTTGATGTTGGACTGAGTTCAATTTAAAAAAAAAAAAATGACCAACAACAATGGTCAGCCTGGCTGAACTTGACCCACAACCCATCCAACATGCCAGAATGGTGATTAGAATCACCAAAATGACGATTGCAAAGAAGCACAATATGAGTGTTCAGGTAAAATGAAAGAATAATTCCCAAATATTGAACCTGACGTGCTTAGCTACTCAAGTGAAAAAAAAAAAAAAAAAACTGAAACAGTATTAAGACAACTTACATTGAATTCAACATCATGTTTTCGCACAAGTGCCTCTACATAGCTTCCGAGACCAGCAGCTGATCACAAAATTACATCAGCTATTTTATCTTATGCGAACACATGGTTCATAATTTATTTATTTTATCTTATGTAAATGCATGGTATATAACTTTACATACAAAAGAGTGAACCACAGAATTTTATTTACCATTCTTCATAAATGAATAAAAATTGAAAATAACATAGGAAGCTTGGCAGAAAACAGAGCTGACAGGAGAAAGATGATTATGTAGCCAACCCAACTAGTTTGGCTCAAAGCTTAGTCGAGCTGGGTTAATAAAAATTGGAAAACAAAAACCAAATTAGAGAAGCAGATCAAATACAGACCAGGATCAATGGCACAAGTAGTGGTCAAAGTGAATTGTTGGCCATCAGAAATTATTTCAGCTTGCAGGACTCGCCCAACATCAAAAGGCTCTGGAGCATAAACTGGTTTGGTTGCTCCTGTGAAGAGTAAAATTAATGAAAGTAGTCAGTAGTCTATTTTATGCAATATTCATGATAACTAAGCATAAATCATAAACAGTCCTAACAATGCTTTTCTACTTTATGAATCCCCAAGCACTCACTAGCAAAAGGCAATTTCATTCAAGCCCTCTCTGTGGCTCTTCCCAAATTCAATATCAAAATGCTTAACTTGTTACCCGATTAATTTACTGTCAATTCATCTAAACTTACAGGGCAACCATTTTCACACAACACATGCCATATTCTACTTTAGCCATACTAGATAACAGAAGCCATTTATTCAGACAAGCAAACATTCCTATATCTAGAAACTGAAATCTGAATTTATGGGATTCCCACGCCTCATTTCCTCAATAAAATATTCTTTGTTAATAGTTGATTTGGAGTACAGGCAGCATTCCATCCCACAATTTGTTTGCCTAGCAAAAAGTTTGATATAATCCATTTTATTTCATGTATTGACAGATTTCATGCCTCATAGCAACTGTTTCAATCACAAAATGACAATTATTTCACTAAGGGTGGACAATGGCTAGATCAAATCTAAAGGACAGCAACTAAAGTAACTTAAAGGCACTAAGAAATGCTATCCTCTGATAAAATAGAATCAGTCACGAAGCATCTACTTTACTTTGTTCAATTGTCCAAAGCATCCAGAAGAGAAAAAATGATTGAAGATGGAAACCTGATATAAGCGCCTTTTTGACATCTTCAGATGATAGACGATACCACTGAATGGAACATTCAGAAAGTTCTGGAGCATTATCAGAGCAAGGATTAATCCGCAAACATGAACCTAATGCTTCAGAGCCATCTAATTCAAATAAATGGAATATGCTCTGCTCGCCTCTCCTGCTCCTTGCAAGCTGGGAAAGATAGGGGGGAACATAATATTTAGTCAATTCTCTGATATATACTATTCAACAAGTTTAATATACAAAGTAAACCACAAAATGATGGAAATTACAACTGAGAGTCAAATACAAGAGACCATAACCAAATATCACAAGAAATGTTTTTAGAAGAAAGCGTGCATAGAGAATTTCCTCTAGCCATTGAGTCACTCTGACAAAAGCATATAACATTCATCAGAGCTTAAACCAGATCCTGAACCATTCAAAGACTTTTAAATGCTTGAATTATGAAAACTAACAACTTAAATGTATTGCCCTGAATTTTCAGATACTTCTACTTTCTTGAAGATTTTAAACAAAATTCTGAAATTGGAGAACTTAACAACCTATTGGCTGGGAAACAAATGACTAAAATGACAATTAGGGAGAGGCAAAATATGCAAGTCAAATGATAAAAGAAAATTCTAAGATCGGATAATGGTGGAAAAGCAGCAACAGCAAAACATATTAAAACATGCAGTGAAGAGAGAACTTAAGAGAAGATGTTGCAAATCTATTTATGGCCAACACATGATATCTTAACAACAACAACAATACCTCCTTCTGAAGCTGCAGAGAACATTTAGACTTCTCAGCAAGTTGTATCCTCAATGCTCGTAGCTCATGTTCCATGTCCATAACCTAAAAAAATAAGTTCAATTCACTTGTGATCAATAAATGAATGTGCGTCCACAAATTTGAAATTTCTGAAAGCTATAGGTCATCACAAGTATTCCAGAGAAGTATAAAATCATAATCCTAGAAACTCAATTTCCCTTGAATTTATTGGATAACTCAAAAAACGGCCCAAGCCCATCCAAAAAGTCTGCACATTTAATTTTTATTGCAGAAGCAAACTACATTTCAAGGAAACACAAGGGGAAGTTGATAGCTCTAACTTCCAAGAACTTGGTCCTGAAAATGGACATATACATGCATCTGAAAGCAATTCAAGAATTATGATTGTTGAGTATCAGTTTGAAATGCAGTTATAGACTCATGATAGGCTTAGAGAATTAGATAAACAACTCTGGAGAAGCCACTAATGAGCCTCAACTATGTTAGAAGAAACTTCATCGAATTACATAAAAAGTGAAGCAAATTAATTTGGTTACTAGAATGTTCCATCAAGAAAGCAATTTTCACCAAAGATCCAGCACACACCTTGCTTGGCTGATGCAGCATTTTGATCCTTCTAGCCTCTTGAACCTCCTTCATTAATTCTTCCAAGTCCTAGTATGCCACACAAAAATATTTTTGTTAAGAAATAAGAAGAAAGGAAAGCATGCAGCAAAAAAATGCATTCCAACTTGAACATGGGCCCTAAATGAACATGAAAAGTATGTCCAACTGTCCTCTTTGATTTCAAAAGCAGCCAAGTACCAACTCAATGGCTAGTACCAGAAGTATTGAAATATGAAAAGAGGATATCTATCTACTGTCAACGTAAAAAGGGACACCTTCAGAATTTATAACTTAACTAAAGGCAAACTCCTATTGAAGCTGTAATAACTAATAATTAATACCGACCTGCTTCCCCAAAGCTCGAGACATTCGTTCATGTTCTTGAAGAGCCTCTTCCACCCTCTGAACTGTCGCTCTGGCACTCTCAATTTCAGCACGAGCATAAGCTCTTTCCTCATCGACAAGTTTCTTGGCATCTTCTGAAGCCTACAAGTGGATGCAAGCACTAGATAATGAGGCAAAAAAATTCCTTATTGTTATCTCAAATTAAAAAAGGAAAGAATAGAGAACTTGATGGATGGAATTTACTGGCTTGAGAAAAATATGCCAAATTCTTTCAAAGACAAGATTACCTGCTTAAGAAAATTTGCTAGCTTCTTTACTTCTGCTTTTTCTTGAATCAACTCTCCTTCCCTCTGAGTCAGCTGAACTGCTAACGCTTCCACCTAGAAGAATTGACCTCCTCCCCTCTGAGTCAGCAGAACCGCTAAAGCTTCCACCTAGAAGAAGTGACCATAATTCATCTTCCACATAAGTGTTTTAAGTAGTAATGGCATGGCAGTAACAACCAACTCACTGAGTAACACATAAAATCAATTTTTTGGAAGAAGTTTGATAAAAGATGCAGTGAAGTAACACCAACCATGGCAATAGCTTCCTCCACGTCATCCTTGTTTCTACCTGCCACACGTCCTTTTAATGATTCTAGCGCATCCCTAAGCTTCTTCAATAGGACATGTTTCTCCAATGAAGCAGCCTCTCTGAGCCTAGCCTGTAATCCAAAGATGAAAGGCTTATCATTCAATTCCTATATCACCAGCTCTCTTTGGAAATTAATAATTCCAAAGTCTTAAAGCCTGAGAAACGGAGAAAAACAACCACTGAAATGAAAAAAAACAACAGACTTCCAACTTTTTCCACAATTAATTGATGCTCCATTCAGTTGACAAGAAAAAACAAGTAGTTAAGACCATGTAATCAAAAAGCTGAATATAATACTGCCAGTGGGCATGATTAATTTCTCAGGAACCAAATGGGTAAACTAACATACAATTGAGGAGGTCAAGTTATTAGAAAATTAGCCTCAATAATCCACCTAAGGAAAAACAAATCAAGTTTCCAAAAAGCAACACAGAATGCTGGATACAATTTAAAAGAAACACAACCTCTTCTGACAACTTAGCAGCAGCAGCCAATCCCTTTTCAAATTTACTGGCAAGGTCACGGACAGAGAGGCGTTTCTGCTGTTCCAAAAGCAAAGCAGTCTCGCGTGCCACAGCCTCCTTCATGGACAATACTTTGGGGTCATCTTTTGTATCCAGAATCTGATTGGTAGCTCCAATTTTGTAATTAGGAAACCGACTAGAAGCAAATGCAACATCTGCTGATACAGCTAGGACAGCATCTTTTTGCATAGTATCTCCAAAATCACGGGTTACCCTAGTCATTGTCTCAATCTAACGAACCTGTTGGACAATCAAATAAGTAATATCAACAGAATTGGAATTAACCAGACAATCATGGTAAAAAGACTTCTCAGCAAAAAAGAAAAATGTGGGTCAGTGCTTACCAACCGAAACTAACTCAATCAGTATTAATGTGAGGGAAAAACAAGCAACCCTTTTTACTCTCTTAAAACAAATGTAAGATTTACAACTACTCATTAGCTAAGAGAACAAGAACTTCCAACGCGAAAAAAACAAGAAATTCTCGTTTTTAATTTTCTCCTATTTTCCTAAGTCTTTCTCAACAACCAAACAGACAGTTAATATCAACAAACAGAGCTGATATAATATTAAAAAAAAAATAGTAAGAAGCTAAACATTAAAAAATAACAAAGATAATAATTTCTACAATCATCCATGAAACAAAAGGAAAACCTTCAACTATAATAAGCTTTAAAAGTGATCAAAAAACAGCAGAAACAACTCTAAACAAAGACCAAAAAGTACCTAAAAAGAGACCAAGACTGAAACAACAAAGCACACACAATAGTACTGCTAAGAAGTCAAGGAAAAGAGTTAGAGAGCATGAAAATGAAACCCTAGCTCTCTAGTATCTTTTGGGGTTGAAGAAAAGTTAAGAATGGAGACATAAAGGGAGAAACTTGAGGACTTACAGATCACGAAGATACGTGGAAGGGAAAGCAGATAAATGAGAAATAAGAGATGGGTTTTTGAGATTCTTGGGTCAGATGCAACCTGAGCAAGCCAGGATTTAATTTTTTTAGAGAATTTGACTGTTCATTAACAGACAGACAGGATGATAATTCTTCAATGAATTTAAATGGAAGATGCAGAGTAGGGGTTGCGGTAGCCTTTTGCTTTTTTTTTTTTTTGGAAAAAAGCAAACAAGGAAGAAGTAAAAACTTAAAAAGAAAGAAAAGGCCGCACTTATGACTTTGTTAGTTGCTACTACTGTTTTTTATTTTATTTTATTTTATTTTCAATTAAGTACCACTTTGGCTTGAATGTGAATTCAAGATGGACAATTGTTTCCAGATTAGTCTTTATAGAACTTTAATTAGGTAATTTATGTATGGATTAGTATGAGACTTTATGATTTAAAAAAATATTTTATTAAAAAAATCAAATAAAATGTCGTAGATGTTATGAAATAAAAATATTAAATCCAGAAAGAAATACTTTAATCCGAAACAATTTGAAATACTATTTCCAGCTTATATTTTACCAGATACAGACAATCAAGCACTCAAGGGTTACAATGGCCGTTGGACCAGGTAGTCTGGTGTGTGGATGTCATCATGCTTGGAAGACTAAAATCCTTCCATGGTGGGTCCTACACCTTCGTGTCTCTCTTAATCCTTGAGCAACGAGGATCGGTCTGTCATGACAAACACAAGAGCAAGAGAGTTCGTTACCTGTTGAGATGATGTTGTTTTTTGTGTAAGCATGGAGGGAGCAATTCTCGAAGGGACCGTCCTTCCTCTTTCTGCTAGTTGACCAAAAGTTGTATACGCTACCGTATAGTATTATAATAACTTCTGTTTCTGTCCATCTAAAATAATTGTTTGGTTTCAATTTGTTTGCTTTTTTTTTTAATATACGTATAATTGCATTTAAACTTTAATATTGTAAAAACTAGAATATGTTTATCATCAATAAATATTTGTTTTTTTATTTTATATATAAAAATTTGTCTTATAATAAATTTAACCAAACACCTGTGTTTTTGAATTTATTTTTTAAAATTATAACTAAAAAAATTTTAAAATCATATTTTTTAAATTATAATTATAAAAATTATTACAATACCAAACATATATTTGATTAAAGTAATTGTTGAGTGTTCATAGTTGTTGCCAAATTAAGGTAGATACATCATTGTAATATTAGTTTGCATATACTATGAGGACCATAATTTTCTTGAAAATAAAAATAAAAAAATATTCATGTCCGGGGAAATTATTTGGCATTACTAATAAACTTAAATGTTTATTATTTTTTAAAAAAATTATTATAATAAATTTTCATTGCAAAAGAAGTTTAGTATATGAATTTAATAAAATAAATTAAAAATTATATGTGATGATAAATGATAATCCGTCTAAATTAAAGATTGAGTTAAGTAGAGATATGTATTATATATATGTGTGTGTGTGGTCGAAAGTAATGTTTTTTTTTTAATATCTAATTATAGAACAATAATTTTTTTTATGTGATTCATTTTAAATAATCAGAAAATATATATTTATTGAGTCTAAAATTATTTTTTTTATTAAAGTATTTAATTTTTGATACAATGTTTTAAATTGAAATTATTTTTATATTAAAAAAAATATTTTTTGACTGTTGAAGTAAGTTAAAAAAAATATCAAAATATTTTGTTCATATTATTATGCATGAGAAAAAATCACAATGTGGTAGAATTATATTCAAAATCTATTTAAAAGTTTGATAAAAAAAATACAATTCAAATTGATTTTTCATGAATAATTTATTATTAGTATTGTTATTTTTATATTCCACGTGTAATAAAAAAATTAAAATAAAAAACTATAATATTTGTTCAAGAATCATGTAAAAAATTGAAGAGTTCGTGATTTATTATAGTAGTTTTTTTTTTAGTGCAAAAAAAAAAGGATATGAAAGGGTTGCGCGCAATGCATGCCCCCCCGGTAGCAAAGCGAGGTGGGCATGGGCCTGGAGGTGGGGCCCACACGCTTGTCTTTGCTTTTTTTTATTAAGGAAACAAATAATATATCATTCATTTTTATTTTTTGGATAAAAAAATAGACAATTCAGTGGCTGTCGAGGCAGACAACATGATATTTCCTTGTCTAATTTTCGCAGCCCATTGAGCCGAAAACTGGGCAAAAACTCTCCTTTAGTTTTTTGGAATAAATAATTTCTTTTCGACCAATTTTCATCCTAAAAAACATATGAAAAATAACATACATAACTCAATAGAACTATTTATGCTCTTAAAGCTGCTAAAAAATAGTCAAAAAAACAAAAAAATCAACTAAAAATCCTAAATTTTTCAAAGCTTCAATTGATTTTTTTCAATCAATTTATTTAAGTGTTAGTAACTATCATCATCCAACTCTCGTAGTTGAATAAAATATTGAGATGTTAAACTAGATTTTGTTTTTTGAATTATGACAACCAAAATTTTCTCCCTTTACTGCTGTTTTTTAGCAAGTTTTCTTGTATCTCACCTAGTGATCCCAAAATAAATAAAATAAAATAAACTCATGCATTAAAATAAATTTTAGATCACATTTATTATTCTTCATGTTTTATGGTATAGTCCTATTCTCTTTATCCATGGCAAAATGATATAATTAAACCAACTTCAATACAAATGTGTTTAATGGAAAGCCAAATAAAATTTTTGCTTGTTTTTTATACTCCAAGAAGAAAACTAAAAAACATACAAAAATGTATTTTTCTCACAAATGTTGTCCCTATATATCTCTAAAAAAAATTAAAATTAATAAAATGAAACCAATAAAAAAATAAGCCAATTAAATATAGCTAAGTATAAAAAAAAACAAGAAAATCATTAAGAACAAATAAAATATTTATTTATTTCATTTTAATAAAATTGGTTTTTAAAATAGTTTTTTCATTGAAATATATATAATAATAATAAACTATATTTATACAATTTAGAATAATATTTTATCATTTTAAAATAGCATCTCGCATGGGATGCTCTTAACATTTATTATCTATCTTGATTTTCTTTGCCTAGCAGAGGCTAGCAACCCCTTCCGTTAAATACCCCTTATATCGGCTGTATCATCTTTGGCGGTTCTATCAAGTACATGGTGATCTTTTTTAATATTATTTTTTAAATAATTTTTTATATTAAAATAATAATTTTTTATTTTTTAAAAATTATTTTTAAAATTAGCATATAAAAAGATTTAAAATATAAAAAATTATTAATTTCTTAGAAAAAAAATTAAAATTTTTAAGAATAGAATTTACACTGTATTTCAAAATATTTTTTACAAAAAATAACAAGGTATGAATGAATACGAGGTTAATGAATAAATTTAAAAGAGACAATATCAATTATAATCTGGCCCTTAGAAGACTGCATCCCAGATTATGTTCGAATATGTTGTGGTCAAAAGCAACGAAGAAAATCATGAGAGATAAAATTAGAAGAGTAGGATCAATGCTTGTTCGAAAAAATCCAATGTAGAAAACAGCTAGGCCCCTCAGGATGGTGGTAAAAATACCTCAGGAGATGGCATCCAAAGTCCAAAGATTCCCTTGAATCTTCATATTTACTTTCACATAATCCAATTTGTTGGGCATTACATGACGTGCAGCACAGTGAATCTTATCTCCACCTGGGCCAATTCGTTCTTGCCAAAATCTCAAAACCCAGATCAAGAACAGTCTACTTCTGCACTTATTTGGACTCCTACCTCCAAATATATTCGCATTGGGCTTCACAATCGTCCCCCAGTCCATCTTAGCACCACCCCCTCCCCTTCCTGGCTCCCAGTCCAAAGAACCATCAACTGCAAGGTCTGCAAACTTGAGATCTCTGTCTTCCTCACTTCTTCACGACCGAACATCTCAAACACAGAAACTGAAAAACCCTCTGTAAACCCCTGCAATGCCCCTTCCTTCCCTCAATCTCAAATCTTAAAAGCATAGCAATGGTAGGCCCACCAAGACACTTACTTCTTCCTATCATTCTCACCTCCATTGGTGCCGTCATCCTGTTCTCCCTCCACCAATCCATTCACCCCATCCCTAACCCTGATTTCATCCCAATCAACACCTCAATCAAGACCCCAAATCCCCAATTCACTCCTCAGGATTTCACGTTCCTAATCAAAGTCCTTGCCTTTAACCGCCTAGACTCACTCTCCAGGTGCCTTAACTCCCTCTCCGCCGCCAACTACGGCGGAGACACTGTCCATCTCCACATCCACATTGACCACTTTGCTCTCACCAATGAATCCATCAACGTTATAGATAAAAAACTTGAGGACTCGCGAAAAGTTTTGAACTTTATTGATGGGTTTGATTGGAAATTTGGAAACAAAGTTGTGCATTATAGGACTAATAATGTTGGGTTGCAAGCTCAATGGCTAGAAGCTTGGTGGCCAAGTTCAGATCATGAATTTGCGTTTATTGTGGAGGATGATTTGGAAGTTTCGCCGCTGTTTTATAAATTTGTGAGGGGTTTGATTGTTAATTACTATTACAATGCGTCGAATTTTAGTCCTTCTGTCTATGGCGCTTCACTTCAGCGTCCAAGGTTTGTCCCAGGTACTAATTTCTTCTGTTTCATGTCTTTTTTGATTTGTTAGACTAGAAGTTTTAATGTTAAATGCTGGGGCTTATAGTTTTTTTGTTTGGTTTATCGGATTTTATGGTGATGTGGTGATGTCGTTGCTTTAGAACTAGTGTGTAAGGCCTTGCATTATGTTAAAAGTGAACTTTGGGGGATAGTGAGTTAATTGCTAGGCTGAAATGTTTTCAATATTTTGATTGCGGCTGAAATTTATGTTGATCGAATGCGAGCTTTAAAAAAATTAAATTTGTATCTGCAATTGCATAAGCATATGTGAAACAAGCTGGTCCATACATTTCCAAGGTAAGTTTTTTCGCTGATTCCAGTATGATGTCTATGAATTACAATGACAATTCAACCAAGACGCATTTGTTTTGTTCTTGGTAGAATGTGCAATATGCAATTTTCTTCTTCTCTTAGTTGAGCATTCTTATAAAAATTCATGTTGATTCTACAACCCTATTACTTACCCCTGGCCAGATTTTTCTTTTTTATCCTTTGGAGAGTGGTTTTGATCGATCTGGTTGCTGGTTACAGGTAAACATGGAAACAAAATACATTTGGATAGTGAAACACGTCTTTTCTTGTACCAATTGGTTGGGACTTGGGGCCAGATTCTCTTTCCGAAACCTTGGAAAGAGTTTAGGTTGTGGTATGATCTGCACAAGTCCAAGGGCATCAAGCCATTTCTTGATGGAATGGTAATCTTATGACCCCCCCTCTTCACGTTTGCTGGTTGATTTGTTTTTCTCTATCTAAGTCTAATTTCATGCAGGTGACTAATGGGTGGTACAAAAGGATGGGAGAAAGAATCTGGACTCCTTGGTTCATTAAATTCATCTACTCTAGAAGTTATTTTAATATCTACACAAATTTTCAGCATGAGAGAGCACTCAGTGTCTCTCACAGGGATGCTGGTGTTAACTATGGGAAAACTGCTGGGCCTGACTCCCAATTATTGGACGGAAGTTCTCTTGACTTCAACTTACTGGAAATGCAACCACTGAGTAATCTGAAATGGTATGATTACTGCTTTAGAGAAGTTCTTTCTGGAAGGATTGCAAGGACCTTGGATGAAGTTGGGTCTATTCTTCGAACCGTGCAGAAAGATCAGAGTGTTCTGCTTGTGAGTATATTTGGGAAATCAGGCACAATCACGAGGAACATGCTTTGCCACTTGGAGAGGCTAAATATAAGGAACTATATATTGATAGGCCCTGGGTCTGACTTTCTATTTGATCTTGCTAGAAGAGGGCATCCTGTGATTGATGCTGACCAGTTTTTCAATTATCTTAGAGCACAGAGAGTAATGGGATTTCAACACTCCAGTGCAGAGCTGATGAAGAACGTTTTAGTGAATGCTTATGTCATCAAGAAGTGTTTAGAAGATGGGTATGATTCTTTGACAGTGGATGCAAACGTGCTTTTCCTCAGTAAAGTTCAAGAGTTCATTAATCCTTCCAGTGACCTGTGTGCTGGGAAGAGCTTGGGATTTTTCTATGTTAGGAGCTCTTTTTCTGCTCAAGAAATTTGGGCTGATCTCCTGAAGAAGGTAGCTGCCATAATAGGTAAGGGTTTGTTACAGGGAGAGAGCACAAATTTTGTATACTTTGTGGTGAAATTCTTGGAACAGAATGGTGCAGGAATTCTCAGGGTTGATGAGGCAAGCATTGGCATCAAGATTGGTGTCAATGCTTTTAACCAATCATCTGTGGAGGCTGGGAAGAAAATGGTTTATTGGTCTACGTCTTGACTTCAACTTACTGGAAATGCAACCACTGAGTAATCTGAAATGGTATGATTACTGCTTTAGAGAAGTTCTTTCTGGAAGGATTGCAAGGACCTTGGATGAAGTTGGGTCTATTCTTCGAACTGTGCAGAAAGATCAGAGTGTTCTGCTTGTGAGTATATTTGGGAAATCAGGCACAATCACGAGGAACATGCTTTGCCACTTGGAGAGGCTAAACATAAGGAACTATATATTGATAGGCCCTGGGTCTGACTTTCTATTTGATCTTGCTAGAAGAGGGCATCCTGTGATTGATGCTGACCAGTTTTTCAATTATCTTAGAGCACAGAGAGTAATGGGATTTCAACACTCCAGTGCAGAGCTGATGAAGAACGTTTTAGTGAATGCTTATGTCATCAAGAAGTGTTTAGAAGATGGGTATGATTCTTTGACAGTGGATGCAAACGTGCTTTTCCTCAGTAAAGTTCAAGAGTTCATTAATCCTTCCAGTGACCTGTGTGCTGGGAAGAGCTTGGGATTTTTCTATGTTAGGAGCTCTTTTTCTGCTCAAGAAATTTGGGCTGATCTCCTGAAGAAGGTAGCTGCCATAATAGGTAAGGGTTTGTTACAGGGAGAGAGCACAAATTTTGTATACTTTGTGGTGAAATTCTTGGAACAGAATGGTGCAGGAATTCTCAGGGTTGATGAGGCAAGCATTGGCATCAAGATTGGTGTCAATGCTTTTAACCAATCATCTGTGGAGGCTGGGAAGAAAATGGTTTATTGGTCTACGGACACAAGTTTGGATTTGATTCAAAGGCGGCTTCAAGAATTGAGTTTGTGGGTTGTAGATGGTGACTCTTCTTGCACTGCTGTTGTTTGTCATGAGTCATAGCATTTAGAGCTGGACAGATTTTGTTTAACCGATTTTCTTTGTACAACACGTTGAAATATTACTGATATTCTTTTGCACGCATTTCATACCAAATGTAACCTATATTGTACTGTAAATTTTTGAAACAATTAAAAGAAAGTAATTGCCCTTAGTGAACATCGTAGCTCCAAACTATCTGCACTGGAATAATGCAAGTGTTATCATGTTTTCTTCCTCAATACAAAAAAACTCAACATTCTAGTTTTTATAAAATTCTGAAAGGGTAATTTGATATTCGACATGATAAACAATTGAAAAACATGATGAAATAAAAAATATGATTTTAAAATAAATAAATTTAAAATTAAACTTTATATGTTTTTTTCGAATAAAATGTTTCAAGTCTAATGAGCTAGATAAACCGGGTCAATAGGTAAGCTTTCAATGAGTTTTACTACTTCCTCCATGAATCCAGCCCGGCCACGGAGATCGACCATACAAGCATAATACATATGCGGTGGCTTATTATTTTGGGCCTGTATATGCTCAAAATATTTCTCCCCCTTTTCAACCAGCATACCATGACCACAAGTTGACATGACCTGAAATCATAGAATTCCAAAAAGTCGCTTCCTTGCTTGAAATTCGATTAAAGACCTCAGTAGCAGCAAGATCATTTTGTCTAAATTTTATACATGTTTGCAGACTTCTAAAAAAGGTGGTTCCGGCTTCTGAAAAACCAACAAAGGTTGTACCATATAAATGATTTGAGTCGACTGGTTCTCAAGACTAAAAGCATTTGGCTAAAGAAATATGCATTGATGATCTAAAATAATGATGTGGTTCAACTTCAACTACCTTGACCACGCAGACGTTTCAACAACCATTTTTTTCTTAATCGACCATTCAATTTCATTAACATTTTGGCTCTCTTATCATCAGTAAAAGGATATTCAAAAGCCCTAATAATGAGATCATCGTCAAAGCCTGGTATTCTCTTCACCATCTCAAACACTTCATTCAAACACACATTATTCATTTCTTTCAATGCATCAGCAATCCTACCAACGTTTGTGGGCAGGGGCGAAACCATAAAATAAAATTAAAAAGGTTGAGATTTTAGTTTTTATTATTATTTAAGTTAAAAATATAGGTCGAGGCCCTTGCCAGCCCCTATCTCCACCCCTGTTTGTGGAAATGGCATTCATCATCTCTATCATAACATCATTGTCATGTCTGTTAAGAATGAGAGCAAGAAAACGAAAAACTTAAACACAAGACTGGATTGAATGATACAGTTTTTTAATGAATAACAATGGCTATTATATAGCCTTACACAAATAATTATAATAGCTAGAAAAGAGCTCACGTCTACAACAACGTGGTAGGTGCAACAAGAAAGTGTTAAAGTTATGAACAACTTCTTAAAAACTAAGGACTTATTTAAACTAAAATTAAAACCTAATCAATAACAATTCTAATAATACTAGGAAACTAAAAAACCATTTATTCCTTCCCTTAAACTTACTGCAAATTGCAGTCAGTTTACATCCAAAACTTCTCGAACACCCAGTAGCTCTTTTAACTTCAGAAAAGCATTAAGCTTCAGAGGTTTAGTCATCAAATATGTCACCTAATCTTGATTTCCACAATGAACCAATGCAATTGTACCTTTCTTAGTAAGATTTCTCAAGAAATGGTACCTCACATCGATATGCTTACTGCATCCGTGCATCACTTGATTTTTAGACAGCTTAATAGTTGAGCTGTTGCCACATCTCATTTGTGTGCACCCTCCATTAGAATGCCCCAATTCCTTCAAAATCCTTTTTATCCAAAGAGCTTGACATACACACATTGTAGCTGCCACAAATTCTATCTATGTGGTTGATAGAGTCACTATGAGCTGCCTCTTTAAACTCCACAAAACTGCAAGAGAGCTTAGCAAAAATACATACCCGCTTGTACTTTTCATATCCTCCATGTCTCTGTCATAGTCACTATTTGTAAATGCAAGTGATTCACCATTTCCTCCTTTCTTGTAATGAATTTCAAAGTTTACAGTCTCTTTTAAATATCTAAATGCCCTATTTGTTGCTTGTAGATGAAGCTTTGTAGGTTTAGACATGTATCTACTTATGAGGTAAGTGACAAACATTATATCCGATCTTGTGGCCATGAGATATATTAAGCTACCTACCAACTGTTTATAGTACATTTCATCCATTTTAATGTCATCTTCATCCTTGTTGGCTTTGCATCCATGAACTATTAGGTTATTAACTGAATTGCTATTCATCATACCAAAACTCTTCAAAATCTCTAGTGCATATTTCTTTTGACATATGTATATATCATTTGACCCTTGTAACACTTCAATCCTTAGTAAAATATGCATCTTCCCCAAGTTTGACATGTCAAACTCTCTCATCATGGAACTTTTGAATTCAGACAACATATTTTCATCATCTCCAATAAATATTAAATCATCAATATAAACACTTACAATGATGATCTTTCCTCCTTGCTTCTCTTAATGAATAATGTCTACACCCTGTCATATATATAGAAACCTTTATTAATGAAGCATGTTTCGATCCTGCTAAACTAAGCTTGTTGAGCTTGTTTTAATCCTTACAAAGCTTTATGCAACTTGTAAACTAGATGTTCGCCACCCCTTTTCTCATACCCCTTTGGTTGTTCAATATAGAGATCTTCACACAGCTCAACATGAAGAAAGGCTGATTTGACATCCAACTGAAAGATTTTCCAGCTTTTCTGTGCTGCCAAAGCAATAATCATCCTTACTGTATCCAACATTACCACTAGTGCAAAAACCATCGTGTAGTCTAGTCATGCTTTTATGAGTACCCTTTAGTGACTAGCCTTGCATTGTGCTTATCAATGTCCCTATGCTTATTGTCCTTTGTTTTGTAGATCCACTTCACTCTAATTTTTTTTACTCTAGCTGATAGCTTATTAAATGTCTAAGTCTTGTTCTTCTTTATAGAATTGATCTCATAGTTCAAGGTAAGTCTTCGACGTTCATTCTTCGCTGCCTCTTCAAAATAAACAAGATTAACTGACATAACTAACGTCATGTTTGATTCATATTCAAATAAGCCTCCCATAGCAACATAATCTTGCATCTATAGCGGAGGACCCCTCTCTCTTCCTTCATCTTCACCTATTTCATCTCTAATTCTATCTTCCTCACTAAACTCATCTTGCATCCATACCAAAACCCTTCTCTCTCCCTTTATCTTCACCTTCTTCACCTCTAGTTCTGTCTTCCTGACCAAACTTTACACCATTATTTCTCTCCTAACCATCATTAATATTTTCACCCTCTTTGTCATTCTCCCTATCTCTCTCACTATTTTCTTCATTCTCACCCCATTCTAAGTCTAAAAGAATTTGTTTCTCATAAGACACATCTCAATCCCATTATTTTTCTTCTTTAAAAACCACATCCCCACTCACTACAATCTTTTTAGCAATAGGATCAAACAATCTATACCCTTTTAACTCCTCACTAACTCCCAACAATACACAAGAAAAACTTTTATTATCAAGCTTACCTTTTCTTACATTTGGAATATATATATGAGCCAAGTAACTAAAGACTCGAAAATGATCTACTGAGGGTTTTATCCCGTTTCATGCCTCTTGCGGTGTAATATCTTTCACTGCCAATATCGGACACCTATTTAGAACATAAAAGGTTTAATTCACTACATCTGTCTAAAATGTCTTTGGAATCCTTTTGTTAGAAAACATCGATCGGACCATGTATATCACTGTTTTATTTTTTCTTTCAGCTACACCATTATGTTATGAAGTGTATGTCGTGGTCAACTGCCTCTTGATTCCCTTTTATCTGCAGAACTCATTGAAATTATTGGAAGTAAATTCTCATTCCCTATTAGTTCGTAAAATGTGTCCTTTTCCACCACTATTTTGAACCTTTTAAAACAATTTAGTGCCTCCGACCTTTCAACCAATAAAAAAACCCATGATTTCCAACTACAATTATTAATGAAACACAATCTATACCTTTTTCCACTGTTGGACTCAAGAAAGATAGGACTGCAAATATCAGTGTGAATGACTTCCAATTTCTGACTCGCTCTCCAAGAGCTTTTCTTTAGCATGACATCTCTATATTGCTTGCCATTGATACAATCCATGCAAGTCATGTTTTAGTTAGGAAATGGGGGAAGTCAACGTACCATCTTCTTCTATTGAAAGGCTCTTAAACCTTTATAGCTAAAATGACCATATCATATATGCTAAAGGTAGAAAAGATCTTGAGTGCTTGTGCCAAAACATCTTTTTAACTGAACTTCTACAGGTACTTGAGCTTGGGTTTGTGCTAGCAAGATGAACATTCTGTTGGCGCTTATTAGGGTTTGAATGATTAAACCCTTCTCTTGATGGTAAATTTTATAGACTCCCTTTTGAATTAAAATTGCCAAACCTTTCTCTTAAAGTTATCATGTGCTTAAGAGATTATTTTTTAGCTCTAGAACATAGTACACATTTCATTGACAATATGATTAACTCCATTTAATAGTAACTTCACATTTTCTTTTCTAACCACACTCATTCTACTATTGTTTCCTAGCTTAACTATATGTTGAAAACTTTCATCTAAATTGGTAAACATACCTCTGTATCCACACATATGATTGGAGCAACCTGAGTCAAGGAACCATGTATCATTCCATTTCACTTCATGCAATTCAACATACGACATCAGCAACATCTCATCCTCTTCATTCACTATGTCAAATACTCTCTTGATGACACATTATCATACCATCAAATCCCCTAATACAAATACATTAAAGTATAAAGCATGAAATGCATTTTAATGTACTCTTTTAATTTAGAGTCACTAACCATAACTATTTTAGTCTCCCATCCCACTCAAATCCTCTATAAGCAAGCCTGAAAATTGTGGCATGCTCCTAATGTTTGAGCTTGGTGACACGACTAAAAGATTGATGTCTTCTCCCAAGTGTAGGAGTGTCGAAGTAATAAATAACCCAGCAAGACCGGGGTCGAACCATAGGGAGGTTAATTGTACAAATTATAATCAATAATTATAAAACACAACAATAGTAACAATAACAACAACAATAATAATAGTAGCAATAATAATACTAATAATA